ATAAAGGAATAATAAAAGATATGTCACGTTGTATTTAAATATGTCACGGGAATTTTTTATGGACAATTTTCATATTCGATTTTGTAATATGAAGATCCTCTACCCTTGAAATTTCAAATACAGTATAAAGAATTTCGCAACTGTGCGAAAGTCAAAGGGTTTTTGCCATAAGTCAAAACTAGTTTTGACTTTTGACTTTTGATTTAGTTTCAAAATAGTTTTGGATGGGTATATGCAGGTTGAGTACTGCACTTCGTGCAGTGAGTATAGTGCGAACATAAAAAATTAGAGATTGAGTACAGTAAGTACAGTTATAAATCCCACATACCCAACCCAAAAAAGGCATGTACAATTATCATTGCCAAAAAATGATTTGTACTATACTCACTGCACGAAGTGTACAGTACTCAATCTAACACAACCGGTTTTGGACACCAACACTGATATTCAATAAGGCTACTACAAAATTATAAATCAAAGAAAATAACAAACAAAAACATCTAAATAAAATTTCAAATCTTTTATAATCATGGTATAGCAAACCTTCAGTATCACAACAAAAAAATATTAAAATAATTTTTCCGAAGGCCAGAAAGTTTTCTTGTAGAATTTCTATTTGTAAATAATGCATATCTTAATTATTTGTAATTTAAACAACAAACTATTCATGTAACTTGGATACTCAAAATTAATTCAAACAATAACTTTTATTTGAATAGAAACTTTAAAACAAGTAACACCAGTGACAAAGTTACTAAAGCATTCCCTAATTTATGAGGATAATATTGAATAGAGAGGGTATTTACTAATATTTTTGGGTTGGGATTATTTTCAAGTCAAACTTGTAATTATTCAAGAAGTTATTGTAAAAATAAATACACAAAATTTTGAGTTATAATGTAGTTGGTCGCCCAAAACTATTTTGAGAAAGTCAAAACTAAAATTAAAAGTTATATGTCAAAACTAGTTTCGACTTCTAGTTTTGGAAATCAACACTAATACTAATACATGTAAAATAATAATATAGTGGCAATCATCTAAAGACATCATCAAATGTTGCCAATCTTTAAGTGCTGATACTTTATTAAATATGGGCTATTTTACCAAAAACTCTCTATTTTTGCAATATTCTAGACATGAAAAATAATGTAATAGAAAGTTTTTTTTGAGTTATTTAATTAAAAAAAAAGTTATAATGGTTTAAAGTTGGGTAACTTTGCTATTTTATTTGAAATTTCGGCAACTATATATCTAAACTGCAATTTACAGATTATATACCAATTATTCACGTGACAAAGTCACAGATCTTTTACAAATTTGGATTTATTTATATATATTGGATTCTTTATAAAGCAAGATCAGCTTAAAATTTTCGAGTGGCGCAGCACGTGATGTCTTTAGATGATTCGCACCATACCAAAATTACAAATTTGATTAAAATTTTAATAAATAATACTAATGAAAAAGAAGGAAAAAAGTACTAGTTTCGAATTGAGAAGTGGAAAATCAATAATAATTGTTCTTCAATTATGACAGACTTTTGAGATGAAAAAACTTATTGTCGCCAGAGTTTCGACAAATAAATTTTTTATGATAATTCTTTAGAAATCGATTTAATGATTGAATAAATAATTTTTAAACAGTCGCATAATATTTAACGTTTGTTTTTTTTTTTTTTTTTGATATTCATCATTTCAAATATTCTAAGAATCAAAGTCATCACATTTTTTCTATTAGTTTACTCTAGTACTCTTATAAAAATATAATATTTTTATTTATGAGAATATTAAATGTAAACTAATAACAAAAAGAAAGGCACAAAAAATGAAATACAAATTAAAAGTAAAATATTTAAAACTAGATGAATGCTTTATGACAGTGACTTCGTCACTGGTGTTACTTGTTATTTACTGTTTTAAAGTCTCTATTCAAATAAAAGTTACTATTTGTTAAAAATAAACTAAAATAATTCAATTTTTTATTTATCTCTCAAAACTGTAGTAGGGCTTTCTCTAGTTCATGATTGTAAGCCACCCACAATTGAATTTCTCTTTGCTTCTTCTTCTGCCTTTTCTTCTGCCAATTTCTCTGCTGCATTAATGACGATTCCTCCTAGGACAAATGACACAGCACTTATGGTCAAAAAAAGTTTTGTCCAGATAGGTTCAAGATTTAATAACAGCATTGTAATTACATCGCCCACAAATACAAGTAATAACAAAGACTGATAGAACTGCCCCTTTATGATATTTTTTACTATTTGATTTTCTTTTTTTCCTGTTCCATTGCTTTTTTTTGGTTTTTCACCAATAACAATAATAACGTAAATGCATTTTATAGTGGCACAAAGAACCATTAATAGAGTTGGTATAACAATGAATAAGTAATTGTCAGTTTTATAATGACCGCGAGAAACATATATCCCAAAAAATATAAATTGTGATGCATCAAGAAAAAAGGCTAGAACAAGACTTGCACAGAACACCGATTTAGGATTTCGGAGCAAAAAGTTATGCATTATATTCCCCTCGTGAGAATGATGATTGATGGTGTAAATTGATAAGTGGATTGTAATACTTGTGTATAAGATTGTTATAAACCCCACTACTAATATTATGGAGACATACTTGATGAATAAATCGTCACTGGTATCGTGGTATTTTTTTATACAAAACCAAGTAAAAAAGCCAGCTTTTAAGAAAATAACAATAAAAGAGAGACCTGTGTAGAACCATATTTCTGTAATATCAATCTCTGATTCTTTGATGCTGAAATAAGCGAGAAGCAAAATAGCTATTGATGATGTGTAATCGAAAACGACATCAGTCTTGTCATCTGTCGAGATTGGCATAGCCACCACCTTTGTTATCATCGTCGAAAAATTTATTAAAAAAAAGATTATAAACAGTTTCATTGGAAAATGTGATTGAAAAAACTTCGATTCTACCATGTTTTTTTGGTAATGTGTAATGAGCAAATTTGTAATTTGTATATTTGATATAAAAATAGGGTTTTTGGTTTAGGTTCGGTTCGGTTTTTTGTGAAACTAAAATCTCTATGTTTATCAGCCAGGTTATTAATTATATCACGTGAAAATTTAATATGAAATATTATTATTATTATTATTATTATTATTAAATAGATTTTTAATTATTATGTCGAAGATGTAAAATGATAGCTATCCTTTTTATATTAGTTGAAAAATGGTAAACAAATTGATTAGGCATCATGATTATTTTTACAACTTGTTTTTTTTTCCAAATTCAATTCACCTCTTCTCCAAACAACTTATTTTGTTGGTTTTTTAAATGCGCAGAACAAAACAAACAATTTATTAAAAGATAGGTTAATAACCCTTTTAACTTTTAAGTTATTAAAATAGGTTATTAACTGCCCATCACTAATAGCAACACAATAAAAAATAACTATTTCTATTACTATGTTGCATTCAATTCGACCCTTCTATTTTGTTATTGTTTTTTCCATTTCAAGCAACATATCATTACTATTATTATATATACAACCCAAGATGATTTTGAATGAAAATGATTTATTTTTTCAAACTCATTTAGGAAATATAATTTAAAAAATATTCTATTATTATTATGATGCAATTGTTTATTCTATTAGACTATATTTAGCTGTCCAATGAAGAAGGTTTCCATATTAGTATAGTATTTTTTTGTTATTGCGTTTTCTGTATTTTATTTTCCGTGAACCTTTTTGTGTTGTTTTATTTAAAGTTGCAGTTATCCGGTCCAATTTATATTCAAAAGTAATCTATATATACATCAAAAATTTTTTAGAGAAATACCGCCAGTAGGGTTTGTATTCATGAATATCATAAGGGTCACACTATTAAAATCAAGTGATCAACTCATGATTTTTTGCTGTTTTAATAGTGTGTAACCCCCTTAATGAATAAAAACCCTAACCGCCAGAAAAGAATGCAACTTTATTCCATCCAAATAAATTTGTTGTGTTAAATTTATGAAGCCTTCCTCAACTGAATTATGAATGGATAATAATAATCAACATTTTCATATAAGTAAGTCTTGAATAAAAAAATTTCGCAACCAATTTAAGTCATTCGCATCATGCAAGGTACGTAGCAAAAACTCATTTTAGTAAGATCCAATCCGGGGATGATATATTATTCACCAAAAAAGTCCGTATATATATGAATAATTGTCAATGCAAAAATTACGCGGCAATATCATGCATATAAAAACAAATTGATATACTGTTTTGCAAAGTTAAAAGTAGTTTTCAAAATTACATATAACCTATATTAAACTTGTAACAAATTTTGTTGTAACAAGTTTATAAATATTCGATATATTAATAAATCTTGAACAATAATTTTGTTTTTAATTCCTTTGCCACCTTTGCCAATGAGGAGTTCATTCAGAAGGTAAACGGTATTACTGTATTAGAATAAATTCTTAAAAATAATATCCTTGTCCGTATGTGAATTTAGAAGCATTAAAATACATTCTAATTCAAACATACAGAGAGTATAATAATAGTAATAATAATGATAGTAGCAGTAATAATAATATCGACAAGCTTAATACCATCTGAAATTTTTTTTCATCAACTGGGATTTATTTAAGTTCTTAGCCGGTTAACATCATTACTTGTGTGTGGGGTTATCTTTTCTTCCAATTCAAATTCCAAAAATCACTAACTATCACTTCAATTCTATACAATTCACCATACACTGCCAATTACTTAATCAATCTATAGCAGAACGCCGTTTCATCGCTATCTTTGTTGATGAATTTAATGGTATTTATGTACATTGATATCTTTACTGATGAATTTTAATGGTTAGGAAAATAATTATTTTATTCTTTTTACTTAATAATTTTGATAACTTTATTATACATATCTTTTTTTATGGTACATTACTGTACCAGTGAAAAGAAAGATGATTATATAAACATTACATGGTTATGACGATTATAATAAGCAAAGGAAAATTTGTGCGAATTTCCCATTTGATAGCAAGCATCATTTTTTTTAGAATAGTTTCGTTTTCAGAATTAATTATGCTAAAGGTAATATCTATTATTTTTAATGTAAACTAATAACAAAAAGAAGATAAACAAAAAATGTTTTTTTTAAAAAAATAAGCTAAATGATTTAATTTTTCTATTTATCTAAATTAGCTCTCAATCTATATTTTTTTTTTCTAATCCTTCATCCCAACCCTTTTTTCTTCCATATTTGAATCTTTTTCATTCATTGTATCTTTTTCCACCTTTTTCTCTCCAGCATTGATGGCAATTCCTCCTAGTACAAATGATACAGCACTTGTGGTCAAATAAACTTTTGTCCAGATAGGATCAAGATTTAACAATAACATTGCAATTATATCACCCACAAATATAAGCAACATTAGTGACTGATAGAACTGTCTGCTTATGATATATTTTATTGCATTTTTTTTCATTGTTTCAATTGCTTCAATTGTTTCATTTGTTTTATCTTTTTTTTCTACTTTGCTACTTTTAATAACGTGAAGGCATTTTCCGGTGGCACAAAGAAACATTAATACAGTCGGTATAAAAACGAACAAGTATTTGTAAGATTCATAGTAACCACGAGAAGCATATATCCAAAAAAATATAAAATGTGATACATTATAAAGAACAACTTGTAAAAGGCTCATCAAAAATTGTAATCTACCAATTTTGAGTAAATAGTGACTTATTTTTTCCCGGAACCCATCAATTCTAATGCTGTAAAGTGATATGTAGATTGTAAAACTTGTGTAAATAAAAGTAATAAACCCCATTGTTATTGTTATCATGAGATACACGATGAATAAAAAGTCGTCGGTATCGTAATATTTTTTTATACAAAGCCAGATAAACAAGCAGACTTTTGAGAAAAGAAAACCAAAAGCGAGGAATAGATGAGCCCGCATTTCTTGAATGTTTGGCTCTTTAATGCTGAAATAAGCGAGAAGCAAAAGAACGATTGATATCATATAATCGAAAACGACATCAGTATTGTCATCTGTCGAGGTTGGCACAGCCACCACCTTTGTTATCATCATCGAAAAAATTATTAAAAAAAAGATTATAATAAACTGTTTCATAGGAAAAAGTGATTGGAAAAACTTCGATTGCACCATTTTTTTGGTAATATAATGAGCAAATTTGTATATTGTATAATTGACATAAAAGACGTTTGTGGAGAAATGTGAGCTATATCTTTTTAACAATAGTTAAGATGTATAATTTATCAAAAATCTGTCCTTTTATTAACAATCTTAACAAATATTTGCTGCAAAGTCAGTTTTTTGTTTTTTTTTTAAAAAAAAACAATACATATAAACGTTTAATTAGACCATATTTGGCTGTTAAATAAAGGTTTTCCTCCCCATCTAAAAAACAAAGGTGCGTACAAAATGTTTTGTTCCCTGTTTTTAAAACCCACCTTCCTAATATAGTATTTTGTTATTTTATTTTCTATAAGCCTTTTTGTATTATTTAAAGCTACAGTTATCCGGTTCGATTTTATACTCGAAGTTTGTAATTATAATATTAATATGTAATCTATACATAGGAATTTAAAATAAAAATAAAAATAAAAAATACCATTGGTTTATTCCATCTAAATGAATTTGTACTATTATAATTTATGAAGTCTCCTTTAACTAAATTAATATCAAAGAAAATAAATTAATATTTATGAATGGATATAAATAATGTTTTAATAATTATAATCATTTTCATATACATGAAATTTAAATTAGTTTCAATTGTTTTTTGCATAACGTGAGTTGCGAATAACGAATGGTAAGAAGGATTTAAAATTGATTTTTTTTTCTTTAGGTTAAATGTCGCTGGTTTTACCTAAGTAACAATATGTAGCAATCGTTTCAGCTTTTTACTGATGGTCGATATCTATACAATGGCAGTTAGTGGATAGGAACTATTTCTGGAGGGAATCAAATAAGATTAAACACATATTTCGATGTGCACAATCCTATATTCGCATACTCATACTTTGATATCCCTCTTGTGAAATATGTATATAAAGGATCGAGGAATATATTTGATAGATACAAAGAAGGTTAGGTATTTGGTGAAAATGATTATTGAAATAGGCAAAATCAGGAGGAGCTTCTAATGACATTCCAAGAATTTATTTGCAGTAACTTCGGCAATGTTTATAATGGAATATTCAGGGACCACAATGCATATTAATATCTCATATTTGATCCTGCATCTCATCAATGTCTTATAATTTATCATGAAGGAGACAAAGATTATCAACTACAGTCTGGATGGAAATTAAGTGGTAATCAATATAGATATACAATACAACCTCCGTTCAAATTACGTGGATTTGTACTTGCAGTATACTCAGGAAAATTGCCGATTTTGAATCAGTAAGAGACGATTTGCTTGGGCTATATTTGAAAAGTTTTTTGTATGATGGAGATAGATGTAGCGATGAAGTATATAACCAAATTGCATATACATTCATTATCATCCGATCATGGGAGAGATGAAATGGAACCAGACGATGGCTATTAATATGACTACGAAAAAATAAAGATGCAAGAACAATTCTGGGCGCGCTTGAAAAATTAGCAGTTTAAGATCGAAATTGGTGTTATGTCAGAAAGCAGTTTGACCGTAATATAAATGCCTTTTTTAGCATATATTATACATATATTGTAGTCGTATTAATAAAGTCTTTTATGAAAATATCAATCAAGTTCGAAAAGTTTTTCTGCCTAACTTTAACCAAGTATTCCAATTTATCATAATTAAATACGTTCCCTATTAAATACATGCTCATATTTATTACAATTCTGATATTGCAAATATTGCGTAGGGTTTGTGGTAGGTTTCTCACGGATTCAATGTTTATTATTCTTATTTTTTTCTTACTAATATGTAAAGTTAAATTTACCTCGTGTGATCATATGTCGTGAAAAATATGTATCAATGATTTCAACCCAGATTATTCTGTCAACTTTGTCCATTGATAATGGAATATACGGAGGAGCTTTACAACTAGAAAGTACTGATTAATAGCAAGTAGTATTTATCCGGAAATAGAGAAAAGCTAACACACGAGACTTGCAAAATTAAAAAATCAAAATAATTTCAATGATTTGATTATTCAAAATATTCTTTCGTATGTAGAAAGTACGAGCATATTAATGTGTGGAGATAGATTTTGAATATTATTAATAATAAATTGCCCTTCACTTTATACTTCACAATAAAAACACTTATTTCGATGAAAAAAATTTCCATTACATGGTCTCTATTTTTAAAGTGTATATATAATAATTTTGAATTTTCAAAAATGCAAATTCTCGGCCAATTTTTTGTTTAAGAAAGCTAGCCGATAAGTTTAAAGATCAAGTCATGGAAAACAAACATATTGGTAAACTTTTTAAATGATATAAAATTTTTGTTATTTTAGTATTTTTGAAGCTGACCAATTGTTATTTGAACAAATTGAAGTGGTAATATTATTAAAAAATTTGGTTAGATGGAATAATTATACAGTACCTTAGTATTAGCAAAAGTTTCGGTCACCCTAAATACCATCATTTACGCAAAAACGTACATAATAACTGTACAAAAAATTATGCCAACTTGTGGCATATGTTCTGGAGGTACTGCATATAAAGTTTCATATTTCTAAATTTCCAGAATATTTGTATATAAAATTTCATTAGACTAACAATTATAAATAAAAAAATTTTTAATATGGAATTTTAATAATTGTTCTAAAGCCTAGTTATTCATACTAATTAATTTTCCTGATATTGCTCTTGATCCATCATTAGAGCATGTTTTCTTGTTTGTTGCTTCTTCTTGATTGTGGTCTTTTGTTTCTTTTGTTTGACAATGATGATGACTTTTTTGAGTTTTTTTTTCGTTACCAATTATTTGCTGCTCAAACCATCCTTTCTTCTCTGAAGTCCATTTGGGCATGCAATTGGAAATTCAGAAAATATTCGTCGACCTTTTTTTCTAGAGGTTAAAAATTTTAAAGGATTTCAAAAGTGCTATTTCCAGCCCTAATTAATTTTTGGGGGCGAATTTAATTGATGACAATAATAATAATAAATAATAAAAATAATTTTTGAGGATAAGATTGAATAGTGAGGGTATTTACTAGCGAATAGTTTTGGGTATGATTGGATTGTTATCAACTAACAATTATTTAGATTTCTGTCTTTTATTTTTTACAATTACATTATCAACATTTCTTCTACATAACTATGTTGCTTTATATAAGCTTCGACTTTTATTTCTTTTTTGATATATTGTTTAAATTGCAATTATCATTATTTGTTTTAACATCATCTTTGGTCTCCTCATCATTATTCCCATCTTCTAAATTACAATCTTCATTTTCTAAGTAATGATTGACTCTGTTTTCAAAATTGTCATTATTTTCAATCTGTAAACTTGCACTTCCATTTAGAAACATTAGATATTTCTGTATCAAGAAATTTTCCAGATAAAACACTCCTAGATGGTGGTTGATACGCAGACAGAGTTGTTGAAGAAGATCTATAAAGTATGTATTACTACAACTGAAAGAGAAATTCCACAGCGAACAAATGTTTTGATTAATTCCCAGTTAACAGAATCATTGCATTCTTTTGTTAACAATGTGCTTTCATAAAGGTTCTATCATTGTTTATTTGTCTTAAACATTCTCTTCCAATTTCACGAGTACAATGGTTTGCCAAATGTGATAAAAGGTTCTATGGTTGTCCATAATAAGCTTTTTTGTGCAGAGTAAATGTTCTTTAAATTTTTATGTGATTTTTAGCAAAATGGATCCACACATTTGAGGAAGGTCTATTAAATACTGTAATTTATTTTGCGGATCTGACATTTTTTTAAACTAATTCTTCTTGTCTTAGGCAGTATTATCTCTCAAACTTACTACTAGATGTAAAAAGAGAGGTGGAAGTTGCTAGCACAGTTATTGTAATTTGAATGGTTTATGGTTGTTATTATATGGGATGTCCACCAGCAAAAAGGGGGTCTGAGACTATTAAATTGTTCTGTGTTATAATCAAAACAAAATTGGTTACACAAATAGTTTTGATATGTAAAGTAAATATTTCAAGTCTTGTATCTCATTATTGTACTAGGTAAACATGTTCTAAATTTTTCACCAACTATAATCC